CTGTAAGTTCCCCACTTAGGATCCTCAATACTCTCTCGATCCTGGCGCCGATGTTTCTCCAGTTGAAATAGCCAAACTCATTACTGGTAATACCTGTGTAATTTCACTTCAAGACCATGGCATCGAAGAAGATTATGTCCCAGAAAAAATTGTCGAACACCAAAATTTGCCTTCAGATCTTGGTGATGGATCTCAATCAGCCGTGCATGTGGATGATCCTACCGGGCATAATTCACTTGATGCTGGGACTCTTTTGCCTGAATTAGCAAAAAATGCACAAAAGTCTGAACTATTAGGTCAAAGTACTCTTTCAACTTCCCTCCTCGATCGTGACGTAGTCGAAGGTGCTTTCAAGATGTGCTAAGTTCACTTAATTACTTATATTGCTTAAAATTTTATTTGCCCCCATGCTTTTCATTTTTTTAGAATCAATCCTTAACATTCTATATGATATATTTCTCATATCTGCTTATTTAACCTTTAGGCGATTACAACTTTACTGTTCACAGTTCGCTTAATGTATTTGTGTTTCTCTGCTCCCAATGTGTTCACTCACTTGTGAGTTTTAAAATCAAAAGTCTTAAATTATTTACCCCAGTGGCTCAAATGTTCTGATAACGTACTTATTCATGTGCGTTAGTTAGATAAAAAGTATAATTATCGGTTCGGCTACTTCCAAAACATTTTCTTATATTTCGCGTTATTTTCCTGGATTGGCTCTCCTAATCGCAATTCTTCTTATCAAGCGTTAGTGTACATTCTCTTGCTATTATTTTTAAATAGTAAAATACGTCGACAGTCATTCTAAAATTCTTTTTTTTTACAATCCGGGCCATTAATAGCTCTCCTTATCTATCACAATCTTAACGTTAATACGCCAATGAGTCCTACATTGGACGACTGATTATATCGTTCACACAATCATATAGCGCATCACAAATAGTTGTCTGTTACTGCACTTAATCAATACCATAATTAAATAATAAGACTTAACTACATAGCCTCGTACTACTTTCCTCTATCTCATATTGACTCATGCAGGATGTAGCAGACTCTAGTATATAAATTACCTCCTTAATTTCAAGTTTGTATCCTACTATGTGAGAACCTTGGCTTCCCCGACGATCTCCTGGGGACTATCAAAATCTAGTATAAATTAATGTGCTGCTCTACAAGCTCTTGTCTTCTGCTTCTATATTACCACTTACTCGCTTTCTTTTTCATGGCTTTTAGATGGTGATACCCTTATGAATCTGGGGGACGCTCGTTTAACTTTATCGCATGCTCTACAGGATCGTAGTATTAATGATATGGATGCTACCTCTTATTGAGAATTGGAGCTTTGGTTTTGTTCCAATTTATTGAGCTTCTCGGAAATAAAGTGTTCCATTTTTGTTTTTTATCAAACGAAAAGCAAGGGAATTTGTCAAGCTTCATAGGTGCTAGTTCCGTGCTCGTTTGTCTTCTTCGCACTGGATGTTTAATTGCACAGTCCGTATGATGCAAGTAAATTATCTTATTCTTAGCTGGTTTCATCCAGCTATTTTACATTTGGAATTTTTCCTTCCCCCACGTCTGCCTTGGAGGTCGCAGCACATCAATTCTTAATATACGTAGAAGCTTTAATGACCCAGCCTTCAACTACTCTAATGCTCATTGATCTATTCGCCAGAGTGACGTTCTGAAATCGTCGATGTGGGTCTTCACCGCACCAAATAAGATAATTTACCAATCCGAACTTTTTTCCCCATTTGCCTCATGCGCCAGCCCTATTATAAATATTCAATTTCAAGGTTACAAAAAGATCGCTCTATCCTTGAGCCCTGTCCCTCAGTGGTTAGTGTACGAAACATAATGGCTAAATATTTATTTTTTATTGTGGGTTCAATGGATAAATTCATGGTCATTCGATTTGTACCCCTTAGTCATAGGTCACGCTGTCTAAATTCGTGCCTGTAAGCGAAGCCAAGTCCATGCAAAACTTGATTTGCTTCGGTAATCGACAACGAATCTCAGGGCTAATAAAAAATTCGAGTATGCGGAGGTGGCGATGACATCTTAGGCCTGAGGTAATGTAGCTAAACTTCAGGGAGCCGGATTCTTTTCTTTATTTGAGGCCGGAATGAAAAACGTTGTCTTGGCTTCTAGCCAGCCCGGTAGCTACTTATTACTTATTTCAAATTTTGGGCGCCTTAGTTGTAGTTTACGGGACTTCCATCGACCATTTATCTGGGTTCCTAGTTGGATTATTGCTATTATGACTTCTGGATATTAGGTGTGGTGAATTTTATGCCAAATGGGACGTTCTCTTAAAGAATTAGTACTATCTTTATTATTTCCTCGGGTATTCTAATAACGAAAAGGCTCTCCACACAGTTTACTGCTCTTTCTGCTTTCTGCCTGTCGTCTATGTGTAGAGCAGATCCATTTTCTTAAAGTTTATTTTTGTATCCCAAACGGTTGGTTGTTTCTTATACAGATACCAAATTGAGGGGGCTCCGCTAAAGAACTAGTCATGTATGTGTGTAGCCTAATACGGATATTAAACGAATATTTGTTAGTGCTGATGTACCTTCACTTTGAATGAGAAATAGAGTGGAAGAATCCTCAACTTGTTCTCATTGGTGAATTGGTGTCCGAACAAGATGATTCCGTTGCGCTTTCGTCTGTCATGTAGAGGGCAAAAATCCATTCCATCAATTTTCACCAAACCCGATACTGATGGCCGCTTGCAATCCCATCTTATAACCTGATTTCGAGGTCTCCGTGGGGTATTCTATACTTAGGTTGGTTCATTTTTTAGTCTTTCTGCGAAAGAACACAATCTCATAGATCTTATCAAAGGTGTAACTGTCCGTAAATTTGGCTAATTCTATCTGATAATTAGCAAGAATACATAAGATACTGGAATATCATTTTTCATGTGAAGATCTTGCTAAGGAAGCCTACACTTATTGCGCATTGATAAAATAGTGTCAACATCTTCATTAAAGGTGTGCTTGATGGCTCTTAATTTTCTACTCTGGGTCTACGATAAGTTGACTTTCCAAATGATGTCTCTTATATGACATGATAGTCTAAATCATTTAACATACTACTTTAATTATTGAACTTACTTCCATTTCGAGTGAAAGTGTTGAGTGAATAGATTGGAATGTAGGTATCACCACAAGACGACGGCGGTTTCCTCTTGACCTGGTGTCAATTTGCTTTACTGGAAGATTCATGGTGACGCTGTTTTCCAGGTAATCCCCTTCGTGACGAACATCATCAGGCAAGGTATCGTCACAGCAAAATTCAAGCTGAGTCAAGAAAACGCACCGGCAAATCCATAAAGAGTGGTATATATACTCTACATCTGGCCTCTGATCAAGTATAAATTGATTTGGTTAGTTAGGGTCATATGTCAACTTCGATGGATGTGTGTGTGCCTATCTCTGCATGCGTATGTGCCTGTTTGTGCTCACTTATGCACGAAACCCGCAGTGATAACTCAAAGTAATTAAGACGGTAAAAAGGAATGTCTCTTATTGGCGATCAAGGTTTGATGACCCCTATGTTATAACCATCACTCCGATTGCACTCGTTTCGTTGATGAGTCATTTTTTGTTCTCAATGCGAGAGAGAAAGAGTGAGCTAAAAGTACAGAGAAGTGATTATGATTAGAACCAAGACAAGAAAAGACTAGTTGCATCACTTCCTTTTTCAGGCGGCTTAACTCCCTCTATCCTTCAGTCTAATAATTAAGCACAAGTAAATTTTACTTATCTTCTCACCATTATTCCGTACATTCTATGTATTTCTTAATGGTTTATTTGTATGGCTCGTCTAATTTTGCGTTTAGCTGCAAACACACCATAATCAGCAAAACGACAATTTGGGACCATTAAATCTCGTGTCATGTACTCAGAAGTTCCGATTTGTGGACCCAACAGCCTTTGCAGGCTCTCTTGTGCTCAGCCACGCTTTGTCGAATGGGACGACAAGCCCCTAACATAAAAGCGACCACATGAGCAAATTATATTATAGCAACCCGATCTAGATAATGGGTCAACATTCTGTATAAGTGGGCATAACTGAAGAAAGTGTCCTAGTTCCCTTAAGGACCGTTTTTATTCCTTACTTCCTTGTTCACCCATTCTTTTAAATAAAATGCACGAATGCGAAGACATAACATACGAAAAGGTCTCTTTATCTCTCCTTGCGTATTCACCATTCAAAAAGCTATTCTTTATTCGTCTATTGTTATTTTTAATCAGGCCTAGGGGATAATTAATTTCAGGAAATATTATTTAAGCCGATTTAGTGCATTGTCATAATGGCCTCTATCGGTTATTCTTATGCTCCGAATAATCATAGATTCTAAAACTTCAGCCTTTCTTTTATAATTATGATTGGGGAAGAAGTTAAGTATAAAGGTGCTGTAGTTGACATCGTGGATAGGTTAAGTTATATAGAAAGAGTAATGGCTCATTTAAACGACTGAGAAACTTACTGACTTTTACTAAAGGATCCCATAGAAAGTCTTAGGGCCACACTTAGGGAATCGCTTAACGTTTGTGTAAACAGAGGAGAAATTTAGAAGTGGAAAATGAATTCACTTCTT